GACGCCGATAAAACCATTTATTGGATGTACTTCTTTCCTTCTATTCCAGTACCTAACATGACACACCATTCGTTCCAAGATGGCTTAAGATCCTTGGTCGCGGCGAGGGAGCTGGTTGTAGATGGATGGGTGTTGGGGACGTCGCCCAGGGTCCACCAGCCTCATGTTGCGAACGCGGCCCATGTTGTTCGAGTTCCTCCTGTCCGAAATTTGTCCTTCAACCCATCTCCGAACGTTTCTCTCGACAGAAACCGGTTGTAAAAATAATATCATCCCAGCTTCTCAGACCCCATGTAAACTTTTGCGTTGTAAAGTGTTCGAGTAGAGCGTACCGATCGATAATGGCTTGGTAATACTCCAAAAATCTGACATTGTCAAATATACCTTCCTCCTCTTAACGTTGCCGTTTCCGGAGCCATTTGCTGACCCTTCTCTGCCGAACCCCTCCCACCAAATCATCCCATTACAAATGAGCAGGCATGGCGTCAGATCGATCGAACGCCTTGTTGCAGCTTGGGCATTTTCGCATCCGGTTCGCCAGTCGGTTATCGACACACTCGTTGCAGAATACATGCCCGCATCCCTTGAGTATCGTGTTCTTGAAGTTGCTCCTGCATACGGAACAAAGGACCAAGTTCTAGAGAAGTGGCAGGTTAGTCTATAAATCCAGGTCCAATCTCTCTCCAAATCCCCACTTACCCTCAGCATTTCCTCCTCCTCAGTTGAGTTGGACTGGCACTTTGTCTTCCATTTGTCGCGTTCCGAGCTAACTTTGTCGAGGCGCACCTTGAGCTTCTCCGCCTCTTGTTCCTTGTCCATTGCCTTCTCCTTCAGTTCCCTGCCTGCAGTGTCCTTGGATTTCACAAGATTTTGCAGGTTTTCAATCTGCGACTTTACCGAATCTGCCCGCCGAGTGGCCTCGGAACTCAAGGATTCCAGCTTCTTGCTCTCCGTCACAATAGTTATGTTGGACTGCTTCAGATCCGCAATCTGCTTCTCCAAAGTGGTGATGAGTGCTCGGTGCTGTGTCTCGACATCCTTGAGCTGGGAAATGATCTCGGAGCTCTTGCTGTTCTGTCCGCGCAATGTCCGTATCTCGGCTATCCGAATGTCCATGTCTTTGCGCGCCGCAAAGTACTTCTGGTCTGCTTTGCTCTTTTCGGCTGTGAGAATAGCAACCCGCTCCTCCAGAGCAGTGAAATCCATCACCTTCTTATGGGCGATACCCATAGCCTTCCTATATGACTTCTCGAGTGCTGGAAGCTCCTTGTTGATCGCCTCGTAATCCCGCTCCAACTTGGCGAACTTCTCACGGAGCTCTTCAGCCGAGAGAGTACTTAAATCCTCCGTCGGGGCGGCCTTGGCTGCATCTTCCGTTGGTCTTAACCTCTCAAGTTCGGATTCTAGTTGAGTTATCCGATCCGTCATGGCCTCAACAAGCTCATTCAGGTGAGCGGATGCTGTCTTTTCCTGTTCCTGGCTTGCCTTACGCATTGCGAGTTCAGCAAGAAGCTCATCCCTTGCGGAGCGGATCCTAGTGAGATCCTGGTCTTTTTGTTGTATCTGGTCCTCCAGATCTGACGTGAGAGCCTGGGCTTCTTGTTCCAGGGTGGCACGGTACGATGTTCGTTCGGCCCGCAGCTTCTCGGCGTCTTCCCGGAACTGCTTGTTGACGGCCTCCAGGTTGTTGATGCGCTTGATGAGATCCTCGTTTTGAGCCTTGAACTGCTTGAATACGTCGGTCCGGGCATAATCTTCCTCGGAAATGCCCTCCTTCTTGATCTTGAAACTGGCATTTTCTTCTTGTAAGGTCTTGATTTCGGCAAGAAGAGACTCAATCTGTTCTTTTTGCTTGTTGGCCACGGCAATGGCTTCCTTGTATTTAGTCTTGTACTCGGCGCCGTCGCCGTTTTCCGCAATTGAACCTGTGCCATTTTCGTCATTTGTGGTTTGTCGCGTTGTCGAGTTGGCCAGTGCCTGCTGTTCCAATTTTTGGACTTGTGCACTTCTAACCCTATCGAGCTTCCGTTCCGCCTTGATCACCTTGAGAGTCGCGGTATCATACTGTTCGGAGAGCGTCGCATTTTCGGCCTGGAGTCTGTCGATTTTCACTGCTAGTTCCTTTTGATTTGCCAGTAAAGACTTCACCTGTGCTTCCAATTGCGCCACATCGGGCTTGACCTCGCCCCGGGAACTGGCGAGCTTGTTGAGTAGCGACTCGACCTTGAGAATGACGGGTTTCTTGATGTCATCCAAATGTTGGCGGAATTCCTTGCTGTCCTTAAAGGCGAGGCTCGATACCCAATTGGAGTCTGCGGGCTTGAGGGCTATGGATTTGAGTGACCCTTCGACAATCAACTCTAGCTCTTGAGTCAACTGGGGGGGTTGTCAGCGCGCTTTGTCGTGTGGAGATATGAGTGGGGCCGAGACATACCTGCGATAGCCAGTACTTGATAACCCGCAAATGATCATCGTGAAAAGCCGCGCTTTTCTCGGCTTCTTGTAGACGGTGTTCTAGGTCGACCTTTGACCGCTTGTACTCGAGCATCTGCCGGTAAATGGCACCTTTTTGATATTCCTGCGCGTTGTAACCAGTCAGCCAAGCCGTCGCCTCCAAGCCCGTGAAAGGAGATTCATGTACACCGTGGGCGAGTTAAGGAGCGTGGTATTTGGGAGTAGGCAGGGTCAAGGCATTGCATGATGAAGAGAGAATCCTGGGAGCCGGGCGTGCTGTTGCCAGCAAGCCGCGCATTAGCAAGGGTCGAGGAGAGTACCCCAACAAAAACATCGCGGTGAGGGTCATCAGGAGGTTGGCCGACACGTAAGATGCTATCTAAAGCGGACGCGACTGCGGTGGATGGCAGGCGGCGTCGAGGGGCTGACAGGATAGAACACGCCGGACGGCGTGGAGGATGTGAGGGGCTAGGCTTGGATGTGATGATACGGAGAAGGGCGAGAAAGGAGGGGGTGGGTGTGAAGCGGTAGCCGACAATGTGTGGAACATACCTCAATCCAAGCCTCTTCCCTTGAATCGTTGGAGTCGTCCTTGGACTTGCTGGTGCCGTTGACAGCCTGTCGCTTGCTAGGAGGGGCAACGTCGTCCGCGTTGGCGGCGGGTCTCTTCCTGTCCTCCATCTTGACGGTGGTAGGACGAGGCACAGCGGAGGGAGAGGTGGCAACCGGCATGAGGTGAGGCGCTGGAGGGAGCGGGCCGGGAACTCAGTTGTCGGCGCGGGCGGCGAAGGGCGAGAGCGCGCGAGCGAAGAAGGCCAGAAACCAAGTAGCAGCGGGCAGAAGAAAAGAGGTTGTAAGGAAAAGCGCGGTCGGCAATGGAGAGCAAGGACCGAAGGCGAGAGCAGCCAGCCGGGCGTGTGTGCGATGAAAGACGTGGTGGTCTTTGTAATGGTTGAGCTCTCTTACCGCCACTGCATACGGGGTGTGGATGACTCGTTCTCCGTCGTCGATGAGGGCGTCAACGGATGCGGAGGGGCTGTCGGCGACGACGATGTGATGGGTTTGTGGGTGAGCTGGGTGGGTGGTGAAGTTGGACAGACCCGGTGCGCAGACTTGGTGGAAAAAAGACAGTCACGGCTCGCTGCCAAAAAGGAGCGTGCGGGTTCCAGTCTTGAACAAAGTGTCGGAGGATGGAAAGTGTGGAAAGGACGGAGCAGCACCTGAGGCAGGTCGAAGAACGTGACTGGAGAGCCGAGCCGGACGGGCTCCAGTTTGACCCAGCCTAGATATGTAGTGTACTTGAGAGAACTTGAGAGGGACCAGCGCAGCAAGCCGCAACGGACAGGCCGCCGAGGTGTCGAGGTTAGGTAGGGTGATTGAATACAATGGATGAATTGCTCGCTGTTCTCTGCTCTCTCACTTTGTTAGTCCCGTGTGTCTTCCATCTGTCTGTCTGTGACGAGGAAGGGCGGAAGCAATGGCCTGGAGGAGGAATCAAGTCTGTCTGCAACTGCAACCTTTCCACATTCTCAACACCTTCGTTCCTTCGCTCATCGGCCGCTGCTGGACACAAAAAGTGGGTCTTTGAACGGGAGCGCAAAGATGGACTCGCGGCGAACCCGCCAGACCGACAGAGTCCACTCTCTCGCCCTTTGGATGCGTCACGCTAAGCCTCTTTCAGTCTTCGGTTGGCCAGCGGTGCCTTTATCGCACTTTGGATTCCTCCAACGCCACTGGCCGATGTGAACTGGTACCAGACTACCCGGAGCCAGTGGCCCAGTGCACCACCACCACCGGCCGGGACTGGATCCTGACCACCCACCAACCCACCCCGCCCATCTTTTTTCCCATCACCACTTGATCAGTCAACAATCAATTAACCGGGCAACTTCGCGCGCGTCTTTCTTTCAATCGCTTGTGCAGCAATTGACTCCCTTGGCCGCGCGCTATCCTCGATCTTTAAACTTCAGGGTTTTCTGGACACACACCAAACCAATTCGATACCCGCCAGAACAAAGTCGCATCGCTTGAGGCTCATCATAACCCTACTATAGTCTTTGTTTATCGTCGGCAGCCTTGTGTGGGCCATGCTCACCAAAACATCGACGCCTCCCCTTCTCTATAGTTGATTCCCGGTAGTCGCCGACTAGATTCCAGATGCTCAAGAAACCGGGCTTCGGCCCCAAGGTCAAACCCAAGGTGGTTGCTCGTCGCAACGCGCCTCCTTCAGCAAAATCCACCGATTCAACTCCCGCCCCGACCGAGTCAACAACCTCACAACCTACCACAGCTGCCGCCACTCCCACAGCCGAGTCCGGTCCCTCGACCCGTCAGGTGTCGCCGGCTTCAGCTTCAGCTCAGCCTACACCCCCTGCAACTCTCCCAAGCGATACGGCCCCCGAGAAGGAGTCTTCGAGTGTTGCCAAACCGGTTTCCAAAGATGCCGCTCCAACGGACAAGCAAGCCCAACCTGCCACGATCTCAGCTACAGCTTCTGTTCCAGCTCCGGCGCCAACTCCAGCCCCTACCGCAACGGCGAGTACCCCCGTGGAAAAGCCAGTAGAAAAACCAGTTGAGAAGCCAGCCGAGAAACCGACAAGCGAAAAGAGTTCGAATGCGACGACCGCGACCGAGAATCCGAAAGCAGCGGCACCAAGACAGACACCTTCCAAAGCCAGGGGTACACCGGCGGCGGTTATTACTCCGACCATCATCGAAATCACTAGGCCCAGAGGCAGAAGCTCCGTGGCGACATCAGAAATCATAGCACAATCTCCGTCCAGAGCTACACGCCCGACACCCGCGGCCGATCCTTCAAGTACCACGTCCTCGGCCACCCCCAGTGGAACCTCGTCTACAGAGGCAGCTTCAACGCGTTCCAGCACAGAAACTACACAACCGGTTACCCAGTCCGAGAGCTCCACTGAGAGTCGAGCAGAGTCAAGTGCCGAGGCAACGGCCGCACCAACCACTAAAACTACCAAGAAGGCGCCCGTACCAAGGGCACCACGGGCTCCTCGAAAGCGCAAGGCGGACGCAACAGTCGATCAAGCGGACAATGATGAAGCCGTGGCCGAAGCCGAAACGGCAGCGCCACCTCCCAAGAAGCGAACGCGGACAACAAAGAAAGCCGCGGCCGAGTCGAGTGCCGATGGAGAGGAAGCGGCTGAAGGCGAAAGCGAAGCCGCAGTACCAGCTCCCAAGAAGCGAGCTCCTCGAAAACGTAAAACGGATGCAGCAACCGGCGAAGGCGAAGCGGATAACGATGAAGCCGAAGGTGCATCAGCAGCAACAGCAACAGCACCTCCCAAAAAGCGCGCACGGACAAGGAAATCAGCAGCCGAGCCGAGCGTTGAGGGAGAAGACGACCAGGAAGCAGCACCCAAGCCGAAGCGGGTGCGGAAGCCAAGAAAGCCCAGGACAGAGTCGAACAACATCGATCCAGCTCTCCTGGGCGATGAGGAGCAAAATGAAGAAGCACAAGCCAACACCAAGAAGGGCAGGCAACAGCGCGAAGCTACCCCCGAAAATGCCGAGCAAGTGCAGATCGACCGCACCCAGCTAACCATGGCCGAGCTGGCCAAGGACCTGCACATCGGCAAGAAATTCAGTCTACACGACGAGCTCGCCGAGCGCGAGCGCGCCAAACGACAGAAGTATTACGAAAAGCGCAAGAAGCAAAAGCGCGGCGAGACCGCTGACGGTGACGGCGACAATGCCGACGGCGGCGCCAGCGGCGAACAATCCGCCTCCGGCACCCCCGCTCCCGGCGGAACCTCTGCTACCAACCCTGCTGCGTCCTCCCGGCCTGCTGCCGCCGCCGCCATCGACGAGCCTCCTCTAGTCGACTCGTCCGTCGGCGCCATCGGCGAGCAGTATATCATGATCGACGGCGAAATCCGCCTCAACGAGCGCTCGCTCCAAGTCGACCGCCACGCAGCCGTCGACCAAGCCAACTACGAAGTGCAAGAAGAAAACGACTTTACGCACTTAACCACATCAGCCACCTACCTCCGCCGCAACATGAAACCGGGCCAATGGTCCGACGAAGAAACCGACAAGTTTTACTCGGCTTTAACCATGTTCGGCACCGATTTCGAAACCATTGCTCGCCTGTTCAAGGACAAGACGCGCAAGCACATCAAGTTGAAATTCAACCGCGAGGAGCGCGCCGATCCGGACAGGATCCAAAAGGCGCTGGTGGGCGAGAGAACGGTCATGATTGACATTGAGCAGTACCAGCGCGACACGGGGCAGGAGTTTGAGACGGCCGAGAAGATTTATGAGGAGCAGAGGAAGGCTGAGGAGGAGTTTGAGGCGCGGCAAAAGGCGATTGAGGATGCCAAAGCCGAGGAGGAGCGGAAGAAGGCCGAGTTGCTGTTTGGGAAGGATGGACAGGGAGGGGTGGCGGGGGGCAAGAAGAGGAGGGGGAAGAAGGCGAGGCCGGAACCAACTTGGTAGAAGATGGATTGAGTTGATGAGGTGAGGTGTTGTGAAAGATTAGAGATGAAGTGTGCAAGTCTGGTGTTACAAGGGAATAAGGGGGGGGGAGATATAGGTGTCTATCGAAGGAAGAGACTCGATTGCTTTTCACTCTGGCATAGTTACTGGTTTTCTATGGTTGAATTGGAAGAGAGACGGACAGGAACAAATGACAAAGTCACGGGATAGGTGTGGCACGGAAACAGATAAAGGCTCTTACCATCAGGGATCAAATAGGTTTTATATACCCATCAACCGGAGGGGCACTTAGTTAGGTATGGAAACAGGGAAGGGATAAACAAATGGAGACACAAAAAAAAGGGTTCTTGATCATACTATGTGCGGACGGCTTCATGGTCTCGGATCTTATCTTCACTTTCATTGCTGGTTATGGTTTGTGATGGAAAGCAGCTTCGTTCACTCTTCAAGAGACAGGACTATAGAGTACATAAAAAAATAGAGTGATTCGTAAGCTGTTGTTCTAGGTCTACGCGAAGCATCTTTCTAGTGTCATTACTCCATTTACTCTTGATGCTTCCTTACCAAAACTTGTCGAAACCTGTCGCGCATTGGAGAAATCAGCCACACAAAGCCCACCCGTGTATTGAATGTGAACGTTGATCAGCAGTGTTGAGCATTTTGAGCTCCCTAAGGTATAATGTCATCATAAAGTCTCCAATGCATCCTAAGCAAGCCCAAACCATCCAGCCGTCGCCCACGTTTCAAATGCAAAGGCAGCTGCTAACGAAAATCCACCCTGCCAACGACTTTTAACGCCCAGTTACGAAAAACCCAAGATATCTCATTCCAGCCTACAGCCTCACCCCCTATCTATTGTTGGGGCATGTCGTCATCTTCCTCCGGTCCTTGATCGAAAAGGAAGTTGGCGGCAAGCTCCTCATCCTTGTCGCAAGCGAAGTAGGCCTGGATGGCCTGGTCCTGGGGAAAGCCCAGGCGGGTGAGACGCTCGATGGCATCGCGTTCCTCCTCTGTGACAGCAATACCGACAGAGCCACCCTCACCACCCTCGCCAAGGAGATTCAAAAACTGATCCGAGTTCTGGGCGATCATCTGGGCGAGTTGAGGGTTGCCGGCACCGAGCTGTTGCAAGATAGGCTCCAGCATCTGGGGCTGCTCCTGTACAAGCTGGCGCATTTGCTGAAACTGTGCGTTGTTGCGGAGGAAGTCGAGGTTACCCAAACCAGCGGCCTCAGCACCAGCACCCTCCGCACCACGAGCACCACGTCCGCCAGCGCTGTTGCCGAGCTGAGCGGCGAGGTCGAAAAGGTTGACTTGATCGTCATCGTCACCGCCGGCAGCAGCGGGGGAAGCCGCCTGAGCGGCAGCAGCAGGGGCAGCAGCCGGAGCGGCAGAAGGCTGGCGAGAGGCAGTTTGTTGCTGGAGGTTGGCGGGAATACCCTAAAGCTGTGTCAGTAAACCAGATATAGAACAGAAAGTGGAATGAGTTGTGAAACGTACGTTCAAGAGATACTCCACAGCGCGCTCGGGGTTGAAAAAGGCGGCACGCATAGCAGCGTCAATCTGCGAACGCTCGAAACCCATAGCCTCCATGTTGGCAATGGCCTCGGCGCGCTGCTCGCCCATGGCAAGGGCATTGGCATCGCGAGCACCGGCAGCTGGGGCCGCCTCAGGAGCCGCAGCGGTTCTAGCGGGCGTCGGCGTCGAAGAAGCAGCGGCAGCAGCGCTGGAGGCCGCAGGAGCGGCGGGGGGAGCAGGTGTCGAGGCCGGGGCGGCGGCAGCGGGGGTAGCGGGAGCGGCGGCAGACGACGACGACTCGGCTGGCTTGGGGGCAGTGGTCTTGGGCTGCGAAAAAAATGTCAGCTTTATCTTTGTACGAGGACGTGAGTAATAACGGGGTTATTAGTACCTTGTTCACGACGCAGACAACGAAGCCCTTCTCCTCGATCTTGTACGACTCAACGGTCTCCTCATCCTTCAAGATCTTGCCTGTTGGGGCAAAGTCAGTATTCGGGAGCGGTATCCATCGTTTGAGAAGCAAGCGGTGCTTACCGGAGTAGATAAGCTTCTGCAGCTCGGGAGCCCAGCCCCTCTCCTCGGAGATCTTCTGCTTGACCTTAGAAATCTGCAACTGGTTAGCTTCTAGCTCGCCAGCATCATACACGTCTCCCGAAGCGACATGGGAGGCTCGCGACGCCGACAGAGCATTCGATTGTTGAGGGCTGTCACGGCGTATTGGATGTCTCCATGACGTCGGCCTGAGGTAAAGGGTGTAAGGAAATGGGAGGCGACGAAGGGTAACCAACAGTCTCGGTAGGCTCGATCTCGAGCGTGAACTTTTGTTGTTTGAGGTCCTAGATGAACGAACAGTCATTGTTAGTATTTGATTATATAGACTTTGAGAGCACATGGACAGAGGGAGCGAGCTCTGATCCAACCAGGCAGACAGGATCCAAAGAAGACGCTGGGTTGTTTCCAAATTTGCTGAGAAGCTATCGCGGTACGTCTGGCTCGTTGTCTGCCTGGCTGGCTGGCTGGCTGGCTGGCTGTCTACGTCAAACACTCGACATGGGCAAGCTTATGGGCACGTACCTTGAAAGTAACCTTCATGACGGGCAATCTGTGACGCAGCTAAGCGGCTGCTACGTTGACAATGAGAGTCTGATGATGTAAGTAAAGTCTGTCCGGACGGGCGAGCCTCGTTGGGTTTCGAGTCGCGATGGGAGACAGCAAGATTTGTTGCAGTCGGCGGAGTTGGGCGAGGACTGACGAAGAAAAAGTGGAAGTGGTTGGTGGTTGCTGTGGTAAGGTTGAGATGGCGAGGTGGCATACAGGGGAGGAGGTAGTTGTAATCGCTGTGGCAAGAAATAACAGGAAGCTTGAACGTTTTACAGCGGCTTGTGATGACTGATGGGGCAGCTTTGAGGCGGAGAATTTGGGGTTTTGTTCGCTTCACCTGCACTGCAGTGAATGGAAGAGGGGCACTGCAGGCGGGCAGCCAGTGTGCTACGGCAGTGAATGGCTGGGGGGGAGGCGGCAGGCAAAGTGGGCAGGCACAAGGCAGCGGCCATTGTTAGGCGGGGGGCTGCGCGGCATCTTGCCGCCTGGAGCTGGTGGAGAGGTCACAGTCGTCACACTGCCATCCGTCTGTACACACACATGGAGATTGATTCCATCCATTCACTTTCCCGGTTGTGTTGGCCTTTTTGCGTTGGAAAAACATGAAATGGTTCTTTATCAGTCCGGCTTTTGAATGTCACTGCTTACCACATGCTTCCGTTGGCGATGGAAGGTGATGCCAAATCAAAGGGGAATGTTTGATGTCATGCTGTGAACCGATCCAAAGCAGCCATCTTCTTTCATCTCTTTTTTTCTGGAAAAAGTATTATTTTCTTGCGATGAAGAAAATGAAGTCATCGCTATCGCTGGTTATGGCAGTGTCACGGCAATAGATCTCCACTCATCAGCGCGTATAAAATGGGGCTGAAGAACACCTCCCCGTCTGTACCAATCATATGCATGAGTTCCCTCTAGAAAGAGCACCAGATAAGATAAGGCCTTACGTTCGTGACCCGTGGATCGTGACATTGAACTGGGGAACATGGTTGCTCTTGCTCTGAACATCATGTGTTGAGTTGACCACGAGTACCTTCCCTTCGGTTATCATCGCAAAATGACGGAACGGTAGCATTGGAGTTACTTTTCAAAGCAGCAAATATGATTTGAGGCAGACATTTTATTCTGGTTTCTCTCATCACCATTCCCAAGCTTCCAAGCTACCTACATCTCCATTGCAGTCATAGTCGGACGTCTAAGCATCATAGCTTGGATGGAAATCACAGCTCAATATCACCGCGCATATTTCTCGGGCACGATCTTTGGTTCTGACTTTTTCATTTCTCATCCGCTACATCTTTCAGTCGTCCGTCTCGCGCATAGCGCAGAGAAGCATCTACCTGAATCCATCCATCATCTAGCCATCCCTCTATCCAACCATAGCCGAGCTTTTCTATGTACAATTCCCACCTATCCAAGACCCATCTTTTAGGTATGGAACTCAAGTCCAACGCCTCGCAATCAAAGGTATCATATTCACGTCTTCAAACAAAACCCCCCTCCTTTCCTCCCCCAAGATATGAAAAATACAAAGGAAAGAAGAAGGAAAATAAAAGAGGAAGAAGAGGAAAAGGTGGTATCTCTCCCTCAGCAGCGACCTTTCTTACTCTCTGAGCGGAGATCGAGCCAAAGAGAATGAAGA